TATCTCTGTCAGCTTCTGTCTGTGACCTACATTATGCCACAATTAATGCGTACACGGCAAAACGTTCTATTTCACAATTTTTAATAGTTTGGAGTGAATTCATTTATTTGTGTGCGCAACCTCTCTCTCTCTCTCCCCCCCCCTCCCCAACCAAACACGAATTTAATTACGATATGGGTTGTCGTACATGCAAATTCTCATGATATTTGAATCATTGAATCTTATATTTTCAAGCTCTCCATTGCATGGGATATAAAAGTGGATCACACAATGTAAGTCTAGAGGACGAAGTACTACCAAAGCGCAGTTCACAATGACGTCATATCTGAAGGAGTCAGAGGCATTCAGACCAATTCACGGTAGAGGGGGGTCTGCTCTATTGAAACTTCCTTTGACTACCAAATCATGGGTGTGGCGAATTATTTAACAAGTCGCAAAAAAGAACACTATTTACAATTTGTAGAGCAGTCATTTAATTGCAGACCCATTTAGGTTAATAATGTAGGCAACACTTATTTTCAGTAGATAATCGATAAGCATCATTTCAGCATCATAATAAAATTACCTGCCTCAGACCAGTTTTAAATCTCAAGGCCGTGTTTTCTAGTCCTGTTGGAGCGGAGATGTAAAACAGTTATGATTATTACAGTATAAATAATTAACTTATAGATATCATATAAGGTGGGAAAAATTTACTCGAAAAGGATCTTAAATTTTTATGGCAAGGTATATGTAGGCCCTACTTTTCTATGTTCTATGAACAAATATTTAAATTATCTTCGAAAATAGTTATACACAGATGTAGTAGTAAGCCTCATCCTAGATATAAGGTATACGCCTCATATTGTACCTTTAAAACATCAAACGTTCAGCGGCCGATTTCACATCCAATTCTCGAAAAAAAATTCATCAAGTCAAGTTCGTCTCTCCTCCACAGATAAAACCAACGTTTGCAGGTTTCCAAGTACAGTTCACATACTAAAGTCAAGTCATATTTTACATTAATTCTTGAAAATGATGTTTGTCCTTGAATTTTCGTCAAGATTTTCCCAGGCGCCCGTCGAAAATCGTCAGGTGATGTTGTTGACATAAAAAGTGCTGTGTCATAAAATATTTTCAGTTTCGCACCCTCTGTGTATATTTCCAAAATTGATTTCTTTGATCCAGTATTATGTGCTATTTCTATCTCAGCATCACACTCTTATGTCATACTCAATTATCTGTTCATTGCTAATATTTCAGTTATCAAACGCTGGTAATTTGGAGCGATATTCGCCTAATAATAACACGGTATTGCTAGGTTGACCCAAAGTGAACTTAGTCAATTGAATCGCTTGAATGAAAGGCATGCAGCGGTATTGACATTACGCGTTTTGAAAATGGAACCTTTGTGAGGTCGCTGCTGTACTTGACAAAGGGATGTAGGCCTACATGTCACCTGATCCACGTGAGAAATCCTGGCATGCAGCATTAAGAGCTGTGTTCCTTCGACGTAAAGCGTTCAGGCAGGAAGGTCACACCTGAATTATTAAAACTCTATATATATGTAATAAAAATGGGTTTGTATTTGTTTTACTTTTCATGTATGAACATTTTCTCTTGGAAGCCTGCATATTGTACGTTGAGGGCGTATTGGGCAGAAATTAATGGATTTTCTGTGCGGACAATTTAATATATATTTGAAATGAGCATTCTAAGGGTTTAAGGGTGAAGGGTTAATGTGTACCTTATGTCTCTGTCTTGGGCGTTACGAATCAAGCAGTGGGAAAACCTGGCTACAGGTAAATGAGAGAATATCGAGATCAGACCCCACCTTTACCCTGCATTACCCTTACCAATACCCCCGGCCCGTCCAATTCGCTCTCTGTGAATGTGGGTTCACAGCGCTATTGCTGTAGAATGTAACAAGTCATGGTCATAGTTTTATTTAAGTTTAGTGTACGTCACTGCTCCGTGCCGCATGTCCTGTTGCTATAGCAACGTGATATCCCATAGTTCATAGCACCGTGTCTTTTGTCACAACAAGCGACAGAAGGAGGAGAATGGAAGCCGTGTGGTACCTGGAATAATTGAAATATTTGATTTTTAGCCACAGTAAATACACTTGTCAGAAGAGCAATTTGTTTCATTCATACCTGATATAAACGAAATGTTTCTATTGTTTTTTTAACAAAGCTGTAGAGTTGCTTCTTACTTTTTCCCTTTTTGTGCAAAATAAGTACTCTCAGCAAACATTAAAAATGTTTATTCATATCGATCAATACTACAAACGGGTGTGCCTTAGACTAGACAACTAATCTCATCTTTGACTGCGCCTTAGCGAGAATCCCCGCAGAGATCGATAGATCGATACTGTAAGTACGTAAGCATCTATTCTGAACACAGCCTCTAGTTTGCTTTTAACATGAAGTTAAAATTCTCTAGCATTTAAGAAGGTACTCGACTGGAAATGGCGGATGTATACTAATACAGTGTAGTAGAGAGGTACCACAGGGCCAATGAATAAATTCCATTTCTAGATATTCACATTTCTCTGGCTTCTAGTATTATGAACACACTACTATACTGTACAGCGTTAGATTTTGCATACAAATGCGTGACGTCATCCCCCAGCCGGTGCCTGGTAGAAAGTTATGGCATGGTGAGTTCCCAGTGTCCACTGAAATCCAAGGACTCCCTGCTTGACCTACGTTATTATGTACAATGGATATTGCGTTAAAGTTATTCTGCTCACAACCAAGTTAATCAGGGAACTGATCCTCGGATAGAATATGGCTTGACCCGCTTGAAAGCTTTTCGACATTTAATCGCTCTGCCCCCGCAGGAACGGCGCGCATGGGAGGGGAAACCATTATGGGATTATTAAGCGCGTATTTAAGTGCGCGCCGTATTTGATCTGCAGCTAAGACAGTTCGTGGATCAACTTGGTTTTGAACAAAGCCTAACAAGATAAACTTGGTGCTCTGCACTGTGTTTTTTGACCGTCTTATGCCTATAGGTCCCAACTACGTTTTGGACGCACGGTTTTTAGGTTCCTTGCGTCCGTCTAGGACGTAGCTAGATCGCAGGGCAGTAATGAAGTAAAGCCTAGGTCCCAACCCAACGTATGGGCTGCTATGTGTGGTCTACAGTCAAAAAATGGGGAAAATGTGGTAGTTCGTGCTTGAGGAGCACGTCCATCGTGCGACTTTTGGAGGACGCAAACAGCACGCAGAAACTTTTCGACATGATCAACAGCCGCTACGTGCGATCTAGCTACGTCCNCGGAGACAAAGAAAAAAAAAAAAAAAAAAAAAAAAAAAAAAACGTGCGTCCAAAACGTAGTTGGGACCTAGGCTTAACTTTTCGACATGATCAACAGCCGCTACGTGCGATCTAGCTACGTCCTAGCCGGACGCAAGGAACCTAAAAAACGTGCGTCCAAACGTAGTTGGGACCTAGGCTTTAGGCAAGACACGGCCTAAATTGGCGGACCTACATTAAAGGAAGAACGTTTAATCCTGTAATGGTCTCTCCGCCTCTCACACGGCTCACCACGCGTCGTCCCTCTACCGTTTGAATTGAGCCGAGATATAATTACTGTGCCCCTGCAGGTACTATGCACGTTATTCAGGTGTGAGAACAGGGCACAGGGGTGGGGGTAAGGTTGCATGATGTGTATGCGCGTGAGTAGTGTGTATCAGTACGCCTGGAAGCCGCTTCTCGTAATGCATGCACGTTTTTTAGCTGAAGATTATATTACTGTATGTTATATTAGCAGGTACACAGAATAACCATTTAAATAAATACAGGAGAAAATTGGTGATTGCTGACAGAGGGTCATAAAAATTCCATAAAAAATTAAAATATAATTCCAATAGATTATTTTATGTGTTTGTGAATAGGGACAACTGTTAAAAAGTCCGATATAATCACTGAATATGGAGTTTTCACCACAACATTGTAAAACTGTTGTTAAAATCGTGAATTTGAATTACATTAGACTTAATTTAACGAAGAAAATAAGACAAAATGATTTTTCTAGGGGCAAGTGAACTGTTTCAAAAACTCGTTATACATCTTTTTCTTGTTTTCACCTCAGTTCAATGAACGAGGAACGATCTCACCTGGGGAATTCAGGACAAAGGTCTTTCACAGGACAAAAAAAAACGCGTAAGCGTTAATAATTCACCACAATTTCTTTTCTTCTACAAATGACAAGTACTATCGCATGCATCACTACCCTGCGTGTTACAAGGTGAAATGTGAAGAGGAGCCACTTCCTCAGTAGCTATCAACCTAAATAACGAAATAAAATACATTCTTTGTATACTAAGTTTCACGGTAGCTGGACTATATCCTCCCCAGGGAGGTGACAACGGCTACATCCAGTCTGTATCATACACACAACACTGACTGGCTTCAAATATTATTTGTATGTTCTACATTTTACGAGCTGTCTGTTTCATACACACAATATGGAATTATCTGTATGGTCAATATTTTACAAGTTTATTTGCCAATTCAATAAAAAAAACACATTATACTATAAGACCAGATAAGTGCGGTTGAACTTTTATTTATGAATTATGTCTTATAATAATTGAAGTTTGTGAAAACAAATTGTTTTAACACAACCAGTCACTAAACAGGAGGGCCCTCCCATTTAAAGAAAAAAATCGTGTTTGTAAAAAAAAATAGTTTATTGTCAATATACCGGTATATATTGAAAGAATAAAGCAAGAACATTCATGGCAATTTCAGCAGGACAAAAAATCTAAATTCCGGCAAACTACCTTTGAAAAGATATTTTCCAAGGTTGATATTTTTCTCCAAATTATTATGCTTCTAACTATAGTAATCCAAAGTGCGTATGTCAATAAATATTTCTTTTTTAATGACAGGAACAAATGTCCTATAAAATATTATTCTAAGGCATAATTAAAGCAAAATTACTAATCGCATCTCAGACCTAATATCTGGAAAATCTACTAATAAGTAGTGTTCTAATTTTGTTAACAAATAATCAAACCAAATATCAAGTCACCACTGGAAAGAAAGAAAGCATATTTTTCCAATTCTTATAACATATCTTATTTAATGCATGCCCAGATAGACGATCTCAGCTATTGCATATTCTTAATTTCTATAGCTACTGCTTATCATTTAACGATCGCAATAGCAATTAACCGCTTAATCATTCACTGTAGCATCAAAGCTTGAACTTAAACTGTGTAAATTATGAGCGCTGTAATAAATATAAATGTTTAATAGATGAAGATAATTTGTCTGGGCCAATGTTCATTGTAATTAATCATACATTTTTCTAGCAAACAATAAAACTACCTATAAATGTCAAACTACTGTAACGTTCTATGTCTTTTATTACTTTATGTATACAGACGGTCCTCTCACACACCAAAGTCTAAGAAAGCCCTCAGCGGTGACTGGAACTCATCACTGCTGGAGCTGCGGAAAATGGCCAAACTACCAGCACTATCAGGGCGTGGACTGGCTGCCGACGGCTCGTTCAGCCTCCCAAAGACGATCTCGTCGTCTCTGAAACGGTTCAACTCCGCTCCTTTCTGTCCGAACTGGTAGCTGAGGTCATGCCCCATAGAGACCTGGTAGATGTTGGTGTCGAAGGACTCTACGGGTGTGACGGCACGTTAGCGCACTGGGGTCTTCTTTGGTTCCTTCCTCTTCCACAAGAAGCCTAAAGAGCAGATGTGCATGAGACAATGTGCTGTGACAATGCCATACAAGCACCAGTTTTTAAAATGATGTATTTGATGGTTTGTCTTGTAATTACAAAAGGAAATAAGAAATATATGACGGATTTACAGCCTGTTGAAGAGTGCTGTAAATATGTGCTAGATAGTGCTAGAGGTGTGTGTGTTTACATGTCAGTTCTGAGTACCAATAGTTGTATGATTGCAGGTGTGATTGTGCTTTAAGGAATCCATGAACAACCATGAGGTGATGTGATATTTATGGCAGTTGGGTCATACGTACTATCATTATTGTCTGAGACACTGAATTTGTTTTACTGGGAGCAGTGTCTTTGTGAACAAATTTCTAAATTTTAAGACATTAAGCTTTTTAAACCGAGGCAACCTTTTTGTACGTTGTAGTCAGGAAAAGGATGCATATGATGACAAATAAAATGATATAACCAGTAGTCATCCGAAGCATCTTAAGCTAAATCATTTTCTCCAGCAATGTCCTTACCTTGAAGTCCCAAGGCTGCCAAAGTTCCCAGAATTCCTAAAGGTATTCTCAAACCGCGGCCAACATTCTGACTGCTGTCGTCTGTGTCTGTTTTCTCATTGGTCAAAATATGCTTCTCAGAGCCCTGAAGAGAAACCCAACATGGCGGAATTAAAATCCACCATTACTTTATTATAATACAATTTGCATATTGTTTTCTAATTAAACACAGACTGTGTTCAATTCATACAGATCTTATGTAAATTTTAACGTACGAATTGTGAAATTTCACATCAGTCGACAAAAATAACTCGACTAAATTAGCAGATTAAAAATCAACAAGTGCTATGTTTCCTCATTTACTGGGGACTATGAAAATCTTAAATATTGAAGGCAATATATAAGTATTCTGTGACAGGCCCTTTAACTTTATAAATCATAATAAAATTTAGAAAGAAAAACCAAACTCTCACCATAGGGTTGACAGAAGGTAA